TCTCTCTCTCTCTCTCTCTCTCTCTCTCTCTCTCTCTCTCTCTCTCTCTCTCGGTTATTGTTGTTTGTCACAATTTCATGACACAATTGGTGACCATCACAACCGAAATTTGGTTATCTTGATTTTATTGGCAGCAAATGTGGACTTGGAAATCGAAGCCAATTTCCCGCAAAATCATCCATATCGTCACTTTTTCAATTGGCTGATGCAATTATGTTCTACTGTGTGACAATCTTCCACCAGCTCGATTCCAACATATAGTAAAATCTAAATTGATTACAAGTTGCAGCATAAAGTTCGCAACACACCGCACACAACGATGTAGAGTTCATATTTCCGAAACGACAACTCAATAATCGCTCGTATCTGCGATATATTTATGATAGTCATGCGATCGGTTTTCAGGTGTGTGTTTGATTGTTGTGATGAGCTTGTGATGGCTTCAGGTTGAATGGCTTGTTGAAACGAACGACATATAATTATGATGAATTAAATCATCAAATTTTATCAAATGTTCAACGACGGAACAATTCAATTTTGTGTTTCAAGTTGTCACGATTTGTTGACTCGGTCAGGTAGATGACGTGAAAACTCAATTGATGATTGCGTTATCGGCACTTTTTCTTTCTATCTCTCTCCCTCGAATACGAGCAGTTTGTTGTTCCATTTCGAATTGCTTGTGTGCATTTCCATTTTAATTGACATCTTACATCGATTTATGCGATTTCGAGAGAGAGAGAGAGAGAGAGAGAGAGAGGGGGGGGGAGGTAGATAAATTGCATTTTTTCGAGAAAAAAAAATGACGAACATCCAGAGTAAAAGTGGTGATTTTGCAAAATTGTGACCATTTCCGTCGGAGTATTCCCATTTAATTGAGTACTTTACAGAAGAAAAAAAAAACGGACCACGATCGTCAATGTGCGACTTTTTTTGTGCGATACGGCACGTGAAGCAAACTCATAAAATTCGCTTACCTTATTTTCGCAATAAACGTGCATTGCACATCGAGTATGTGTCGTGTGTGTGTGTGTATTCCCATTCATTTATTATTATGTATAAAAATATAATCGCTTTTCGACAATGTCATTCTAACTGAATGACGTGACAAAAATGCTATCTTCAAACCTTCCCCATTGAGCATGAGCCGAATATAGAACTTTCGAAGGAAATGTCTGTTTTATTTGTTTTTTTTTTTCTGCTGCTACTCTTCTCAGTAGCACAACAGTGGCCGATGCAAAACCCATTGCCTAACTCAGCAGAGATCATAGTTTCTTTCGCTTGGGAATATGTTATGTTATTATTTATGGTTGTTCAAGACAAGCTGGGAGTTCTTCGAGCGAAAGAGAAATGTACGTTTATTCATGTATGTGATGACATCGTTGTTGTCATCGTCATCAACTGCAGCAGCGGTAGGATTTTGTGACAATTTCGACTTTTTATACTATAATGCATGTCGCTTCGTTTATTTGATGCCCACTTCTGTATTTCATCAGGCATTCAGTTTATTTTTGCTTTCATTTGCAATCAGCATGCACGCACATGGGCAAAAAAAAATGAACACGCAAACACAGAGGGAGAGAGAGAGAGAGAGAGAGAGAGAGAGATGATCATTAAGTCGAAAGAGACATAGTAAGAGAGATTGATAAGAAATGCATGTCGCGTGTAGTTGTCATGCACATGAGAAAAAGCAAAATCACGAAACAGGTTGATTAAAATGAGATATGGGACCACCAACAAGTAGCCCGCGTGTATACAAAAAAATTATTACTTCATCAGTACTTTTTTTCTCTGCTTTATCGTAAAGCCTAGCAATAGCGAATTGCTGCTGAATGAGCAAACAGTCAAACACAACAGAAAAAGGCAACAGCGCAATGACACACAAACACATACATACAAGCTGCCTGGACTGGGCAGATGTAGCACAGCAAAGACAAGTAAAACAAAGAAGCGGACTAAATAGCACGAGATAAAAAGAAATTATCATGAAAAAAAAAAAAAACGAATGGAACAGAATGTAAATACCACCAAGTCAGAATCGTAATCATCGAACGATGTTTAATAATCCACAAGTACTGTTCAAATCACACATTGGCCATAAATAGCTAACCTCCCTTTTGTTTATCATCACAGCCGTTTTTAATGAGTTTCTCTCTCGCTCGCTCGCTCATTTGAATATTGTTCGCAATACCGTTTAATTTTTTGTGCAGCTGATGAGTGAGAGAAGCGAGAGATAGGGAAACTTACAAAATGCCGAGTTGCCGCTATATTTACTTGACTTGTCATCTGTTTCTGTGGTTGTATTTCATCACGAGAACGAATGCATGCAATTTAATTGATTAACGTTCATGCTCTTTTTTCCATCGCTTTATTCCTGTTGTGCGTTTTTTTTTTGGTGGCAAATTTGTTAATTCCAATGGGCGATAGAGAGCAAGAGACAGACAGACAGACAGAGAGAGAGAGAGAGAGAGAGAGAGAGAGAGAGAGAGAGAGAGAGATGAGGTTTTAACTGTTCACTTGTGCAACTAATTGACAAGTTGGAAAATTCAAAGGGTAAAATTTATAGTGTTTTCCATAAAGTGTTTAGCAAAAATTTATTATATATCGGTCTGAATCTTCTTTTCTAATTAATTGTAATCGAAACAAACGAAAAACCCCAATTAAA